TTCCCACATAATATTAGCATCCTCATGCACAGACAAAATCTTAAGATCTAAAATCTTATTTCCAAAAATATTTTTGTTAATATTCTTTAAATGCCCCCATTTAATTCTAGAAAATTGTTTTACTTTATTTTTTATTTTATGCCCCTTTATCTTAAAGTCCAAAACTAATAATCGATGTTGGGTACATAAATTTTCACTCGGAATAACTTTACAATCTTTGCAATCTAAACGATTTAATTTTCTAATAAGAAAATAGTCAATCTGGGTTGTATTATATCCATTTTTATAAGTGATGAGATGCTCATTCCTTTTCTTAAATAAGGTATTAGCAATTAAAAAATCATAAGCTAAACAAAAATCCAATATGGTCTTGCCACCTTCATTCGTCGTTTCAAATTCATGGCCACCATGAATGCTTTTAAAATCATCTACCTCTCTACCAACATGTCCATTTAAATCTCCTCCAATAAAAACTCTTTCTCCAAGAGGTATATTTTGTATTAATTCTTCTAAGTCATTCCAAAAATTTAATTTAGAACTCATATCCAAACCTACTTGAGGAGCATAAGCACTTATAATATTAACAATCTTATCATCAACAACAATCTTTAAAGCTATAATTCTATCTCCAATCCTATTAATTTTTATAACATCATCCTTTAAACTCTTATCTATAATAACACCTACACCATTTCTAGTACGACTCCTACCCGAATACCAAAGTTTAAATCCTAAACTATCAATTTCCTTAGCCTTATCTCCAACCCATTTAGTTTCCTGAATGCACAAAATATTTAACTTCCTATGAATCATAATATCTATTAATTCCATTAATTTTCCTGTAAGGGAACCTATATTCCAAGTTCCTATCCTAATTTTAGTTTCATGGACTAACTTCTTTGCCCACATACGTCCTTGATGGAGGAATAATTGAACAATTAGGAAAAATTGAAGTAGAAAACTTCAATGCTTAGAAATAGGATGGTTAGGATTTTTGGATCTATAGAGATATAACAACTTTAGTAGGGTGAAAACTTTACTTTGAACTCTTACAAGCTCGAAAGAGATCTAATAGTGCATATACTCTGATTCACAATAAATATTAAAAGAGTCAACTTAGGAAAATATTGCATTTATCACCATCAAAAGTTTAGGCATTTTAAATTTACTAAATCTTTTTTTTTTTTGCATCAGCAATAGTTAAATTTTTAAAAACCACTCTAAATTGGATTTTGTAGGATAAATCATGCAACTCAATTAGATAGTATTACAAGTGATTATAGGATAGTCTAGTTTCTTTGTGGGATGGACCTACTCTACATTCTCTATATTCTATTAATTGATCAACTTGTACACTTATGTTTGGTCCAAACTAGCTTCACTATTGCTTGCTAATTTTTATTTTGCATTATAAGAAAATATATGCATGCTTTTTCTGTTTGTACCTAGCAAAATTAAGCATATGATGGAAGCACAAACCAGCTCCTAAAAGTCTCTGTAAACTCTTCCCAACTAATCTTTGCAATTGACCTACCTTGAAAGCTCTCTCTCTCTCTGCTAACTTGTCCACCTGCACTCCACCTCTCCATCTAAAAGAAATACAACCAATGGAACTTAGTACGGTATACTATCAAAGGACTTCTTTACCCTCATCAACTAATCATCATCTTCCTGAGGTTTAACGGCACCCAATAAATGTGGTCTCTTAAATCTCATAAATAAGTAAAAATACTTAGCAACCTCATCCCCATTCACTCCAGTCATTCTACCCTGAGCCTCACTCATCAATTATTCCACTAACCTAATTAACTGTATTATTGAATCAACAGACATCGCTCCTACTATACTATGACCTGTAGTAACCTGAGTGACAATCTATCCATTAGCTTCCTCTTATTCTTGGGGGTTCATGATGCGACAAAACACTTTGATATAAGTAAAAATTGGGGAGTTCAATTATACAATACAACTAATAGACAATGGTCTATACTAGACTCCAAACTTCTTTCTTATATTAATATTATTCATTTCATATAGCTCTAGTTATAATATCCAATTATTTAAAATAATTGCTCTGATAACACCCTATGATGCCTTAGAATCTAACTGAAGGATTGGACTTACTTAAAACTATAATTAATTAACTCATCCATCAACAATCACAAATTCTATAAATTTTTTAAAAATATATAAAAATAGTACAATCCTTTCTAGTCTCATCAAAACATAAATACATAATCCAGTCAATTTTTAATACAAGTTGACTCATGAACATGCTCAATCTCCCCTCGATAATAAGCTCATGAGCTAAGCTTATCGAGTTTTAATATGGAATAGATATACAGGCTCATTGGGTAATTGAGCTTGAGTTTAATTCAAATGCTGCTCAACTCATTTACTTACCGAGCAGCTTGAGCGTGGAAGTAAAATGTGAATATGGAAGAAGGAATATCATGTGGACACGAAAGGAGGAATCATGCACGAATGTGGAAGGAGGAATCATGCAGAAGACAGACTCGAGCGATGATGTGAAGAGGAAGGCTAACTCAAGCGTGGATGTAAAGTAGAAGCATGGACTTGGAAGGAGGACTCGTGCGTTGAAGGGCATATCGTGAGCTAGCTCGTGAGTCTACATCCATTTACACGGTCCAAGCTCGACCATGCCATTTAAGCTTGAGTCAAGCTCGCAACATAGCCGACGAGATAAGCTTGAGTTAAGTATGACTTAAGCTCATCTCGACTCTTTTACAGTATTTACACTTGATCTCAGTGCTAGCATTATTACTATTAGAACCACATAAGCACCTTCTTTGAAGTTCACTTGCAATACATAATACTTATTCTCAAATATTTGCTTATATTTCACGTTGACTTTCACTTTTCCATTAGGATTCATATAAAAGTTCAGAGTTTATAAATGCACATTTTAGAAAATTTCTAAAACTAATTCATTAGAACATTAACATATCAAATAAAATGTTTAAAATGCACATGTCCCAATACCTATTTATATCTTCACTTTCATTTATGTCTCTCTTTACCTCCCACACCTGCATATAGCAAATGGGGTCAGGATCCCTCCAAAATCTCACACATGAATTTTGAACGACTGGTATTATAGAGAGAATGTCCATTTCGAACAACTTCGGGTCAATTTTGTCTGTCGAGTTAGTTCAAGATATTGTCCAAGTTGATGTAAGTTACATTTACCCTATCTCAGTTTTTTATAGTTTAACAATTTTTAAGATTTTTTTTTTAGTTTATTTTTTTAATTTAAATGTAAAGAGGGTAGATTCCAACAACAGGTAAACATTCGCTACGTCACTTTTGTTATGTTATAGCTTACAATATTCTTCATATTTTGATATAAATTATTTGTGAATTTCACCGGGTAGTATTGATTCCCTGTAATTTAAGCATTCTAAAAAAATTCAACAATAATAAATAGTATTATAGCACAATAAAATTAATATTTCTGATTTGGGATTAATTAGTACTTAGTTCTTTACCATTTTTGTGCTTGCTAAGTTTTCTGATAACTTCAACTTTTTGGTTGAATGAGGTACTTTATCAGCTGGATTTAGCAAAGCTTTTCCTTCTACTCGAACATGCATATAATTCCCAATTGGACTTAACATTACAGAGAGGGATTCACTGTTCTGTTAGAAGAAATATAATATTGTTAAAGTAATGGATTGTTCTTAGGAGCTTTAGCTTTTATTAGGTCTGGTGTAAGGACGTAGAGGAACGTTCGGTCGGAGGCAAAATCCCGCAAAAAAAAACTCGGTATTTGCTCGATATTGCTAGGTATTATTTGATAATAACGAGGAATACCGCTCTGTGAAGACCAATACCGAGTTATACCGAGCTATACCGAGCAATACCGAATTTTTTCTAAGAAAAACTCGGTACAACTTTTATATAACTCAGTATTGCTCGGTATAGCTCCGTTTAACGGTATTGGGTCTTCACAGAGCAGTATTTCTTGTTATTGTTTGGTATTACTCGGTATTTGCTCGGTATTTCTCGTTTTTTGGCACACTTTGGCCTCCGACCGGACGTTCATCTGTGTCCGGTCGGAGGATGTAATAATTGTTCCTATGGAGGAGGTTTGGGGTAGCAACAATGGTTGCAGCGGTTGAAAATAATAAATATTTTTTTAAAATTTTTTAAATTATTTATGTTTTTTTTAAAAAATACCTTAATTTGATTTAAAAAAAATTAATTAAAAACACGCCAAGCAAATATATTTCTTAAAAAAAAAAATGGCCCCAAACATACTTAACGAGTCGAGAAAAAATATACATCGTATGCATCACTTCCCTTCAGATCGATCTAATTCAGAGACCATGAAAAAAAAGAAAAAAAAAATCTTTAGTTGAGCTTGAGTTTTAAGACAAAAAGAAAATTATTCATCCACTTTTCATTGAGAAATACTAAAATAAAAAGTAATAAAAAAACATTATAATCATCAATTAATTTATAATATCAAACATTAACTACATTGAGTTAAATGTTTATTTTGAACTCCCAAAATAAGCACGCAATTATTTTGCTTCAAGCAAAAGAGGAAGAAAAGATCTTTATAAATATCTATTTTATGGATATATATAACAAAATAATGACAATGCATTTTATTGCTTAATTTCTTCGTGATAGGTAAGAAATTATAATAGTGAAAGTTGACAAAAAAGTATTTTCATATTTCAAAAATGAATTTCAATTCAAAATAGCAAAACAACAACAACAACAACATCAAGCCTTTATCCCACTACGTGGGGTCGGCTACATGAATCCTTTTTCTCCATTGTGTCCTATTAAAAGCCAAATTCTCGTTTAAATCTAATAAAGAAAGGTCATTCCTAATATTTTCTAACCAAGTCTTTTTAGGTCTACCCCTACCTTTCTTAACACAAGTCAAATCTAATACCTCTACTCTCCTAACTGGGTCGTCGGAAGGCCGCCTTTTTATGTGACCAAACCATCAAAATAGCAAAAGATAGAACAAAAAGTTCGGTACAGGATTTATCAAAGCTTATAAGTAATATAATATAATCACAAAACTTAAAATTATTTACTGAAAAATGCATAGCAGATGAGTGCTTTATAACAATGTTAGTTATGCAGCACAAAAAGCAAATGAATTGTAGAGGATATATTGGCAATAAGATAATATGGCTTCCATGGCTTAGAGATCAGAGAGACACCTTCCATTAATAAAATAGATGGCCTGGGTGACGGCCTGATCTAGGTTTGCAGTGACTGCAACCAGATTCTGTAGGAACTCCTCAGCAGTTGGCTTCTCTCCGTCGATAATGTCGGTCACCGCTTTAATAAAGATGGCGGGCACGGAAAGCAGGTCGGCAACATATGCAACAGCCGCTCCCTGCATTAGAAGAATGCAATCAATGCTAATAGAATGGAAGAGAATGCTGGCTTGGGAGTTTTGGAACATTATTAGGTCCAGACACCGAACGTAGAGACACGCTCGGTGTCCAATAAAATATTGACATGTGGAATGTACACGTGTCCGCATAATTTTAAGTCAAGCGTGCAAAAGGTTCAAGTAAAGCATAGGTAAAGTGCAAGTAAAGCGCAGTCAAAGCGTAGTCTACATGACAAATTTTAATTGGATATCCGGACCTCATAATTTTCCTGGGAGGTTTAGACCTGGATGTTCTAGGCCGGCTTAGGCTTCGTTTGGGACGGCTTTCTTACTACTTAGTAAAGTAGTTTTTTAGTACAAAAATTAAAAATGTTATACTGAATACCTGTTTTAAAAGCAGTAAAAAAGCCGTCACAAACAAAGACTTAAATCTTTTTATTTCTTAAAATGAACTGGAGCTAAAGATCTTAAATCAAAGGAAATTTACAGCAAGCAGAAGCCCAAAGAAAAGTTAAAGATGGCATTAGAAAGAGTTGAAGCTTATGCAAAATCTGCATGCCATCAGTCCACGAGAACCCACTGCGAAGAAGAAGCAAAATAGAACTACCACTATGCAATTCAAAATTACAAGCCATACAAATGGTGGAGATGAGAAGAAGAAGAAACCACGTCAGAAATAAAGTATTAGAAGTTAATAGAAGATATATGAGCTCCAGCCATCCAGGATAAAACAAGAATCCATAACTGAGAGCAATTCAAGACAACAACTTCTGCAAATATGTAAAAACTCCAGCCAGTATAATATTAACTACTAAGCTGAAGTCAAACAAAAAGCTAAACCACATGATATACCCATCAACGAATTTTGGATGAAAACCTTGTTATTTTGAGTAGCTTAACAAGACGTTTATATTTTGCAACCTAGCTTCTCAAATAGCTAAGTCTTCAAAGTCCTAATTTTCATGGGAATTAATCCAAGAATCACAGTCCCCGTCAATAGCAGAAGAACTATCATCTGCATCAAACATAGAATTAATTGCCACATCTAAATCAACCCTAGCCGAAACAATATTAATCACTACAACTAAATGCATCGGAAAAGAACATACGAACCCCAACCTAACTTCTTCTAGCCAGATCATCAGGATAAATCTCAATTAACGAACTATAGATAACAGGATTGGGCTAGATCCATCGAAGATATATGAACACGGCAAAGGACTCCATCAAGAATACATGGGTTATCCCCATGATTTCATCTAACATGCTAGAAATATCAGGATAGGACTAATTCAAAAACATAATCCAGACACAAGCAGGGAGAGACTCAGATAGTAGATGCCAAATACCCCTTTAGGCAAATGTCTGACAAGATGAGTTACAAATTGTTGGCTAGCAGTTTAAGTCCAGTTCAGATATTCTTAATGTTACTGTGTATAACATGAAAGTTCGTTCGGGATGTTAAGCACTATGAACTTAGTCCCAAGCTAACCAAGAGGGGGGGGGGGGGGGGGGGGGTGAATTGGTATTTAAAAAAAAACTTTTAAGACAAAAGAAATAAAATCACAAACCAAATCACACCACAAGAAATTAATGCGGAATTTAAAAAGTGCGGAAGCAAAAATAGGAACACAAGATTTACAGTGGTTCGGTCGACTCGACCTACGTCCACTCCTTAGAAGCACCCTCCAAGTATTGTACTACAAAACGTGACTCTCCTTTAGCCCCCACGGCTAGGCGGAGAAGCCCTTACAAGAACCTCCTTTTTGCCACCCCGGCAAGGCAGAGAACCTACCTCCTTTTGCTTCCTCCTGAAGCTGGCAGAGAACCACAACCAAAAGCAAACTCCTTACCTCTACTGACCCTTCCACGGACGAGAAACTCCA